CCACTCTTTCTCATCGGGGGTGAGGGTGGAAGTGAGGACTATATAAAGGTCATGCCAGGTTAAGTCATAAGCCTGGGGAAGAGATTGGAACACCTTAATGTATGTAATGGGGTCGTTAGGAAGGGTTCTTGGGCGTTGTTCTCTCTGGGTGAGGGCTGTGAGGGAAAATGATACATGGAGCCTGATGGGGCCCTCAGCTCCAGCCTCCTCACAGGGGGACAGACGTGATGTGACCTACCGTGAGAAGCAACGGGGGAAGGTAGAGGGGCCGGGAAAGGTTGAGGGGCTTGAGGATGTTGAGGAAGGAGGGGAGAGGAAGGAGGAGTCTCACTAGGTTCGGGGTCGAAGGGGGTGGAAGGGAGTAAGGTGGAGGATGGGTAAGTGGGAACGACAATGCTTCCAAAGCGACAGAAGGGGTGAGACGGGGTTGAGCGGTGGTGGAAGGTAACGGGAGTTTAGCAGGAGCCGCGAGGGGATTGAGCAAGAGAGACCTGGGCTGGGTGACAGGTGCCACCTAAGGAAGTACAGGAGCGGAGGAAAAGGAAAGCCTGACCGTCTGGAACCTCAGACCACTCTCGAGTCTGGTAACAAAAACTGTCGAGGTCACAGAGAATGTTGGAATTGAAAGTCCTGGCCAGCGCAACTCATTGTCCAATTGGGATTGTGGCCACACTTGGCTACAGAAAAAGACCGGGTGTTTACGGCAAATATCTGGGACCAGGCCCATTTTGGTGATGTTGGCAGGCAGCACCCCAAAGGACAGTCCTAGGGGGCCTAGACAGGGCTTCCCACAGTGTCTCAAACTGCAGGGGTTACAGGCAGAGAAGAAGGGCGTCCCCTGGTCCCCAGTCTGCACCCATCAGACAGGGATGGCCCGAGAACCCTGAGGTGTCCCCTACAGAATTAGGAAGTCAGGAGAAGAGTCCTGGACTCCCCGGAACAGGATGGTTCCCTGGGGCAGGCCTGAGATTTTGTCCAGCAGACAGGGACATTGGATCAGTGAGAGACATAACAGAGGCCAAGGACGAGGGAGGGGGAGAGCAGACGGGCCGGGCCTTGTGGTCAGTGAAAATGGAGGGCAGTCAGAGGCCTTTGTTCAGATGGGGGAAAAGGAGGAAGTAGATTTGAGAGCAGCTCTGGGAACAGGCAGCACAGAGCCACAAACACAAAACACAGCAAGAAGTAGAACAAGCTCAGACACACCTTTTGCCCCTTAGTCCAGTCCGAGGGTGCAGGGACTGCCAGGCCCTGTCCTGTTAGCGGCGGAAATTACAGCAAGTAAACACAGAGACAAAGGGCTGGGAGGAACGGCAGAGGGTGTGGCTGGGGGTTGAGGAGGTAGTGGAGGGAGGTGATGGTGAAGGGCACCCAGAATATGGAGGAGGCCTTACTGGGGGCACAGACAAGGAGTCAGGGGGTTCAGAGAAAGATCAGTGGGAGAGTACTGCCAGAGACCTGATTGGGGAGCGGTGGGTCTGTTTGAGCTGGCAAGTGTTTCTGGTTAGGGGAGTATTGGGCTAAAAGAACTTGAGTGGGGTGACAGGGAGTACAGAGAGGGGGATGGGAGCATAGAAGGAAGAAAGCTTGGACTTAGGGGACCTCAGGCCATTTTCCAGTTCGCTGGCAAAAGTTACTGTGATCAGTCAAAATGTTGAAAGCAAAAGTGCCGTCTTCTGGCCATTGAGACCCACTGTCTAGCGTCTATTGGGGCCAAACTGAATTGCAGTAAAAAACCAAGGCATTTGGGCCAGAGGTGTGGCTTTCAGCCAAGGGTTGAGAGATGAGCCCGGAGGCCACCTACAGGTGTGGAGGAGTCTGGCTTGGAATTTTTGTTTCCCATGCTGCAGGGTTCCTGGAAGAGACTGAGCTAGACCATCAGCATCCCAAGTAGCCAACTGGCCCCTGGAATGGGGGAGAGGGAAGACTGACTTCCCAGCTCCCCCGGAAAAGGAGCAGAGAGAATCAGGTGGCCCTGAATGTCTCCAACCTTTGGATGAAGGGAGGGGGCTCAGCAGCCTCCCAACTCCCTGGAAAGTGAAGAGAGAGACCCAGGCGTCCTCGTCCCCCAATGTCTCTGGCCCTTGGAAATGGGGCTGGGGGCTGGGGAGAGGAAATTCTGGGTCTCTCTTCCCAGGTACCCCGGAAAAGGAGCAGTGAGACTCAAGTGTCCCCAAGTGCTGTCCTTCGGATGTGGCTCTGCCGTGGGCCCACGATTCAGAAATGACATGAGTGAACAGAGCCTCTGAACCCCCAGCAGCAAGGGGCAGCGGTCGCAGGAACAGAATTAGAATTTAGTCAGGTGCTGTCAGGGACTCCTCCTGGATGTGGTGGGTGGCTGCTGAGAGGGTCTGGTTCTAGGCAAGGGGGATGGAGGAGAGAGGGTGCCACAGTGGTCCAAGGGCAGGCAGGGGTGTGTCCAGACACCTCTTACTCCTCCCGGGTTCGTGCACCAAGATGAGAGGTGAAAAACGGAAACGTAGAACGGAGATAGAATTTAGCCAGGAATGTGAAGTTGAGAGAAATGTTGAGGGAAAGAACTCCTGGGACAG